CACAACACGCGATCCTCCAGGGAAGAAGAGTCCGGTCAGATGACAAGGCACCAAGTGATGGTTAATCCTGAATCCACATCATTTATGGGCAGTAACAATGCTTGCACTTAAGTTTGGTATTCCCTAAATAAGCTATGTTCAAGTGGGAAAACATGAAGTTTCTGAACTGCTTTCTATTCTCCTGAACCAAACAAAAGACTGTTAGGCATTAGTGACATAACAAACAGACCAAAGTTCAAACTCTCTCAAATGCAATTTATTGTTTATCCAGTGGGGCAATGTGTACTTTTAGTCTTTAACCTAAACAAGATTCTTGTCTATTTAAGACACTGACCTGATATTCTTTTCTATTTTGCATCTCTGAGGTTTATTTGTTAAGGTGATTGAATGCTTTGATCCGCTGAACTAATAACCAAAGTTAATCTTACATTTTAATCACTGGACAAAAGAACAGACTTGGACTCTATTTTGAAAGCCAGTTTAAACCAAAAAATAAGGACACTTATAATTTTTCTCACTTGAGGCACTTATTCTTTAGCCATTGATAAGAATCTAAGAACCTGCTCTACTGCATTTGAGTTATTACACAGAATTACTTTGTACTGTAGTTGAAAAAAATGTTTAAAAATTCGATACTATGATAATGTACCTCCTACCATGAACTTGCGCTGGCATTTTTCAGCATCTGAGACTAGTAAAACATTTATTTTTAAACAAAAGGAGTTAACTGCTCTTTCTAAGTTCTGATATAAATAATATATTTACAGTTTCAAAGTAAATAAACATCTGTAATACTGAGGAATAAGAGAATATACCAAATCACAGTGTATTTGGGTAATTGTACTTTATCTTCATATAATTTCAAAACTTCATATATATGTTGAAAAAACCCAAGACAGTTGCTACCTGATAAACGTTTATTAACATTTTTCTATACATACTTTAATATGTACATATTAAAATATTTTTAAAATAACTATGATCTGATGGTAATAGACTGATTGCTTACTTCAAAGTATTAACTTCATACATATCAAGATGCACCATCCTCAGCTATATAACTGGTTTGCAAAATGTTTGCTGAAGCTTGTAAAAAAAAAAAGAAGTAGTTTTTCATATCTTACAGACTCATAGAGTTGCTAGCTAGCACAAAAACAGCTGTCTAATTTTACAATGAAAATTTACTTTGATAGTTTGTAGGGTAGCTCTATGTAGGACGTTTTCCAGAAGACTAAAGGGATGCTTCAGACAAAAAGTAAGAAAAGTATAAAACACATCGAAAGGTTTTCTTTTTAAAAAGAAAATGGGACAATCATTCTTTAAGAAAAGACTTTTTCTTAAAGTCTTTTATATTATAAAATGGGACAATCATTCTTTAAGAAAAGACTTTTCACATGAACTTGTTCTATTCAGACTGACGTGACTCAGGCATTTTTAAATATTATAGAAATACTTCCTTATAAATTTCCAAGACAGTAGCCTTCGGATGTTCCCTCAATCCCAGTGTTGCTCAGATAAAATAAATCGTAAGAGAACTTCCCACCAAAAACAAGCGTTTTGGGGCATGGACCATATCTTACTCTTCTAGTCCCCAGTGTTTAGAAGTAGGCTCTCCTTGACAAATGTTCACTGAACTCAACTGCTGACAATATAAGTTAAAATACCAATACAACTTACCAATAAATAAACAGTCCTTTGGACGACTGTGGGAAATCAAAATACTTTCAGTTTACACAAGTATTCATAAACACATGAAAATGTTCTAGTTTATCCTAAACGCCCCAGCCCTTGGGAGTGCTATAGGAAGAAGCAATGAAAAGGGAAAATTTTCCTGAGTAGTCTGTAAAATATGGGTAGTTTTTAAAACTGAAAAGTAGTCTGAAAATTCTCAGAGGCGAGCTAAATATTAGCTAAACTCAATTGTATTATATAGTATACCACCACTCAGTAATTAGTAGTACCACATAATTGTTTTATACAGGTCCCATATTAAGTCAGGACTGCTCTTAAAATTAAGTCACAAAAGAGAACAAATTTCAATCTATAATTAAATTTAAATCATTAATTTGGATCATACCTTTAAAGTCTATTAATTTAACAAAGATAGCCAAAAGCTGATATCTGAGGAAAATGCTTTCAGTTCTGGGTGCAAACAATGAAAGACTGAAAAAAGGCACATAATAAAAGCACTTTCCACAAAAACAAAGATACAAGTGGGCCTCAAGCAGGCCCACATATACCTCTAGTTTAGGTCAGAAGCTAATTCAATATTTTGAAAATCATATTACTTTAAACTTCACACTCACTCAGCTTGGTCTTTTTTTCCTTCCAAATAAATCAGGTTTTAGCATACCTGAAGGAAATTAAGCATACTGAAAAGACAATGGCTTCAAAGAATATACAATCCAGTGCAGGAGTAACATATAATCACTGAATCTAAGCGAAAGTAAAGTGTCATCACTCAAACTAATTCTGGAGAAAAAGTTAGTTGTCCCCCGCCTCAAAAACAGGAAACAAAATAATAAATTATTAGAAGTCCTATCCATTTGTCGACCTCCTAAAAATAAAGATTCATCTTTTAAGTAATAAAGAGCTATATATAAACACTTTTATCTAAAAGTGACACTGTTCACCTGTAATCTGGTGCTCTTCTGTTTATCTACCAAAATCTTTGGAGACATAATCCAAAATCTAAGGCCCAGGAGGGATAAACAGCTTAGTTTTAGAGCACCTGCTTAGCATGCACAGGGTCCTAGGTTCAATCCCCCGTACCTTCATAAAAAAAAAGACTATAATGACAAAATATGAGGACCAATCAACAAGGCTAATTTAAACTAAGTATAAACGTTTATGAGAATTTAGCACAATAGAAACACGGCATTGATGTATGAGGGTAAAGAAAGAATTTAGTTACAAAAGGAAAAACTACCATTACAAAAGAAGCAGTCTTCTGAATTCAAATGGCATAGTGAAGATTAGCTACAGTTGGATCCTCTGGACATGTGATTCTGACTCGGCATTTATTTATGTATTTATTTACAAATTTTAGTGTAATATGGCTCAATTAACTCACTGGTATATAAAAAGTAATAAGGGATTTTTAAAATCTGAATTGTATGAAATAACTGTTACAGCGAATTAATGTAAAATGTCAAGTGAGATCTGGAGAAAAAAAAAACAAACATACTTCTAGACGGACTCCAGAGTATCAGTTCTCAACCTCTTTTCTGACATGATAAATCCAGGACATATTCCCATGGGTGATCCCATGTTTTGACCAAGTTTTAAAAATACTGAAAGTAAAATAAAATGACAGAAACTCAGAGGTGACACAAATCTTAGCAGCTCATCAATGTCACTTCCTCAGACGGGGTTGTGGAGGACAGTGCTGGGACAGATACACATATTCCCCACACACCAGCAGCAGCTCCACACCTCACTCTCAGGCAGGATACTTACCAGAACACAGGTGAACAGGTAACAACAGAATGTTAACCTGAACTTCACTCTAATTTGCTTTTAAAAAGTAAATTAATCACAATCAAGTATGTATGAGTAACAGTTAATTTGTGACAGTTCACAAAAGAGGAGAATGTCAGTGTGTCGGGATACCAGCTAACAGTCACTGTTTTAGAATTTTATCAAGGCGTTAGAAAATAAAACCACATTCCTTAGGGTGTAGGATTTATATAAGGAATTTAAAGGTTGTAGTAGAGAAATTTATTAAATTGATAATTAGGAAACTCTTTATTATAAACCAGAGGTCTTGGACATACCCAATTCTTAGCGTGAAGACTCTGCTGATCCCTTTCCTGTTTATAAAATATATACCAACCATGACTCTTTGAGATTATAAATAATCAGATACAGAGTGTCATGGAAGATCCAGTTCTAAAAGCTGATATGAAGAGTTAGAAGAGCAGCTTGCACAGGAGACAGTCTTAAGGCAGTAGGGTAGCTGGATCCCAGAATGAAGTGAATGCTAAAAGAAAGCAAACTTCTAAAGCGTCAGAAGCCCCAGTGAGGACAAATCCCTGACGCATTGTAATGATTGACACCAGGGCACTGCCATATAAATGCCTTTCTCAATGTTTTCAATTCAGAGGCTTTAAGTTTTATTCTAGGAGAATATCTGATTATATGATATAAATCAAAAGAGAAACAGGTTTTATTTTACTGTTATATAGGATGGGCTGGCAAACTTTCTTTTACACAGGGCCAGACAGTAAATATTTTCAGTTTTGCAGGTCACATGACTTGGTCTCTGATGCTTTGTTATAAATGTAAAGACCATTTTTAGCATGCTAGCCATATAGAATCAGGCCGCTTGCCAAATCAGGCGTAGTCTGCAGACCCGATATAGAAAGCAATTCTCAACCACTAACTCTCCCCGTAAATACCCCTCTCTTTCTTTCAACTTTAAGTATTTCAGATAGAATAGGAATTAAAGGTTTAAAGGACTGTAAGGATAAGGGACCTAATCTAACTTTCCAAATGAGGAGCCAAAGGCTGAGAGCACTCAAGTGACCTGCTTACAGCAAAGAGGCCAAATGCTCACTTCTCTTTCCTCTCTTCCATTTTTGGAATGCTTACATTCAAACTGGAGGACTCTTCTTTAAAAATAGTCACAGCTTAAAATACTTGTTTTACCAGATACTTTTTTCACATTCTTTTATCATGTTCAATAAATTCACACCAGGAAAAACTTGTAATACTTTTAAATTTATATTGGGCTAGCACGGGGCTTAAGGAGGCTTAGAATTCTGTCCCCTAAACTCTGTCAACTACATTGTCCAGCCAGGCTGGACAGCTAAAGTTCTGAGAAGCCTAAAGAGAGCTGGCTGGGTAGAGGGGACCAGTTATATGACATTAACATTCAAGATAAGTAGACATCACTCCCCTCTCATTAAATTCCTCTAGAACACATGGGGCTACTAAGCAAACACCTTACAGGAAGAGTTTAATCCTATCCGTCTGTAATTTTTCCTTTTCACAGGCATATGGAATGAGGAATAGCACTTTAATGCCACTTCTTAGAGTAAATTATATGTTAAAAAGAACATTTTCATTTTCCTTCAAATGGTAAAAATAGAACTTATTCTTTGTACCTGAGTTTCTGGTTGTCTCCCCACAGCATTTCTGATTAAAAACCTATTTTTATTATCAATGAGGAGATTCCCTAAAGCAAAGCAGATACAGTCAGATATTCCAAATGAACCTTCCCTAGACTTAGAACTTGAATTTTAAAACAGCTTTATAGAACAATTTTACCACCCTATACAAAAAAAAAAAAGTCTTTCATGTGTCAATTCTGAATATAAGGTATGAAATCTCTTGGATCTTTTAAAATATACTCACACAGCATAAGAATTTATAAAATATCATCACTGATAAACCATGTGTTGTCCAGGTTATTTAAGAAATGCTATCACATACCAGCTCTGTGAGATCACAATTCTATCAGACACAGATTTGTGAAATTTCATTTTAGATATGAGGTAATGTGTTTTCTCCACATCATGTCCTCACTTTTCAGGTAAGAGGAATCTGACTCCTTTAAGACTGAAAAACAAGCCATGCCCTCCCCCTTCATTAAAAAAGATTAAAGAAAAAAAATCACTTCTTCTTAATGATCCACTAGTGGCTCTGAAATCTTCCTTTTATTCTACTGTATTTAAATACTCTTCTTCTTGAAGTTTCAATTTAAAGTCCTCTCTGATTCTTTCCAGCAACTCTGGCTTAAAAATAACATCCAATGCAGTCATTGCCAGAGCTTTGGCTGTTCGCAAAGCGTAGAACTGAGCTTCTGGTGATCCTAAAAGGTAGAGAAAATGAATAAAGATACCTTCATATTTATTACAAATTAATTTATTATTTTTCGAGTTGGCTCTCAATATCTAAATTGCCTCTCCAACTGCCCACCGCAATATAGTATTTCCTGAGGTGATGCTAGGTAAAGAAGTAACACTAGGCTGAACTAAACAGTTAGAAAGGCAGCTACTACTATGAAAAGAGAGCAGATGCCAAAACATTCACTTCTAATAACACTTACCTGCAGCTTCAGTATACTGTTCTGTATGATTCAAGGCATTTGTTCCAATGTAAAAATATGGATGAATCCCAGGAACCACAAAAGTAACATTTCCAAAATCAGTAGATCCTTAGAAAGAGAAGACAAGCCATGAATTTCTAATTGCTTGCCCAGTGGACACTAGATCACACTTACCTTAATTTCTACAGCACCTGGCATGGTTTTCTATTCCTTCCTTTCTAGAAACTCCCTGACCTTTTGGATTCCATGACTCCACTCTCTCCTCACTGCCAGGCTTCCTCTCTGACCATCTCTGTCTCCTTCTCCAGTCACTTCCTTTGCCTGTCCCCTAAGCGCTGGTGATCCCAGGGCTTTCGTCTCTGGGCTACTTCTCCCTCCGTGTACCTGGGCTGCATCGTCAATGTTGAAACCTGTATTTTCAGTTACCTCTCAAGTACTGACAACCCTTAAATCTCTACCTAGACAAATTTTGGGAGTTCCAGATTCAACGGGCTACTGGACAGCTTTCCTTAAAAGTCCTGTGAACATCCCAAATTTAACAAACTAATAATTGATACCGACCCAGTCTACTCCAGGCTGCTCTCTCTCCTTAACTCGTATC